GTCACGTGACCTCGATGACGCAACAATACTTTCAGAGGACATGGTGTACTTTGCCCAATATATAAAATACTACACTTCAGTATAAGTTGGAGATGCAGAACCAGTTTTTATTTGGTGATTTTATCTTTGTTAATAATTCTTCCAATGTTATTCCTTTGGCCAGATAAAATTATTTTTTGAAGTTATATTTCAAAGTGTACGTTGTAATGATGTCTTTCAAATGATATATGCAATGCAACTTAAAACCTAAAAGACTTAAAATAGAATATTTATACATAACAAAGGGAACGAAATTCTTTAGTTCTTTCTCTCATCGATAGATGGCCAACACTGCAGTTAGTATTTCAACAGCCAATCACTTTCACACTACTTGTTTCAACGCCAGTAGTATATAATTAATGAACAGGATCATATTTTTCTTGTGTGACTTCTTCACAAACTTTGACTTTTACACATACATAAATGTATATATATATGTGTGTATGTGTGTTTGTATTCGAAGTTACGAACTTACGAGTAGGGTTTATTGGATCGGTGAACATACAGTTAATGGTTTATGTACGAGTAGATTAGTTTCGGCCTCCTGGGGGGGGGGTCACCTGTTTTAACCTCTCGCATCACTTATACGGTAGTGTGTTGTCTGTCAGTCAGTCAGTAGACACTAAAATGACGCACTTGTACTGTCGTGACGTCAGTAAAACGCGTGCATGCCATGAATCACGAGAAGAATTACGAACTCTGTAGGCTACAAAACAGCATGACATATGAGCTTCAAAGCAAGAAATAGAAATATTTGCTACTCTTAATTTTGGTTCTATTTACTCTTGAAACAGAACACTTTCGGGACCCTGTGGAAGTACATCTAATAAAATCTTGATACTTAAGAAATAATTATTACATATATTTTTAAACAATACATTTCCTACGCCTGGAATCGAACAAAGGCTTCCTGGATAAGGGATAGATATCGTTGCTTTTGACCACGTAAGATGATAATTTGTATTTTCTTTTACGTTTAACCTTTGTTTATAATGTATTTTCTCATAACTATTTGACTAAATAGATTAATATAGCACTGGTGTGTTAATAAGCAGAAACCAACGTACTGAGACCCGATTTTGTTACAAATTAATCATCTCAAAATTCCCTGATAAAAGCCCTAGTGAGACAAACTAAGTTACAAATTTTGAACGGTTAATTAGAGCTTCCGACGCCTTGTAGCGTCCCATATTTTACGAAAGAACCATCGACATCTTGGCTTCAGAATAATGAAACAATTGCTCTGAAGATTCACGAGATCATTGACGTCTTGGTGTTATTTCTCTTTTTGTTTTCATGAAGATGTCGTATAATGGTCGCTTTTTTCTGTCTAGAGTGTTCCATGTTAGTGTTGACTGCTGTAGAAAAAAAATCATTTGTTGTTCCTTCGATCTGATAGGGCTCTGAGACTCATCTTTTGGGTATTATCTCTTTGGTGTCTTAACAACTGTTCGTTCCTCGCAGTCTCGGCCAGGTTTCCCACATCTATAAAAGTTCCCTCTTTCTGATATCATTTTTCACTCGCTGCAGCCCCTAGCAATATGGTCTTTCAAGTTACACTTGACATACGTATTTTATTGTGGTTTATTCCCGCCATTGTGTGTAACAAGTTGTGTAACTAACCGTTTCGTACTTCTAAAATGTCATCAGTGGGCGTTGATGTTTCAACACTACTCGATCTAACGATTCTGTAACTTCAAGATGGCGTTTTTAGCTGTTTAATCTATCACTTAAATGGATTTCAGTTCCATCGCCAACCACCGAGCTTCATTTATAGATGTACATCAACCCTGTTTCATCGTGATCCTCATACAGAGCTTCATTTATAGATGTACGTCATCGAATTCATTTATAGATGTACGTCAACCCTGTTTCATCCTGATCCTCATACAGAGCTTCATTTATAGATGTACGTCATCGAATTCATTTATAGATGTACGTCAACCCTGTTTCATCGTGATCCTCATACAGGGCTTCATTTATAGATGTACATCATCGAATTCATTTGCAGATGTACGTCAACCCTGTTTCATCGTGATCCTCATACAGGGCTTCATTTATATATGTACGTCAACCCTGTTTCATCGTGATCCTCATACAGACCTTCATTTACAGATGTACGTCAACCCTGTTTCATCGTGATCCTCATACAGACCTTCATTTACAGATGTACGTCAACCCTTGTTTCATTGTTTAATCCAAAACCTTATCGAATTATTATGCCCGAACTTAATTTTTTTTCAGCACGTAGAACACCTCAGATGGTGAAGCATGCCATTTTAATATTAGCTTGATATCACAGAGTGATAAGATTGATAATAATTTTAAAAAATGTGGCGCGTATTGACCCTGTGGTAGAGCTGTCGATCCAGGCTCAAATCCATGTAATACCACAAAATATTCTATGCAATTTAAGCTGTGCGGTATAAAAATGACAGTCAACTCCTTGGCATGGATGGTAGGTAATAAGCTGGCTTACTGATTCCATTCTGGTCAGTAGTTCAAAATTAGATACGGCAGATAGCTATGCCATAAATAGATAAATACAATAATTTAATGCCCCCCAGTGGCACAGCGGTATGTCTGCGGACTTACAATGCTAGAAACCGGGTTTCGATACCCGTGGTGGGCAGAGCACAGATAGCCCATTATGTAGCTTTGTGCTTAATTCCAAACAAACAAAAACAAACAAACAATAATTTAAACCACATCATTATCACGTGGTCCAATACGAGTTTTTCCGTTTCAAAACTAGGGACGGCAGCTAACCAATACGAGTTTCTGTTTCAAAACTAGGGACGAAAGCTAATTGCCTTAGTAGCTTAACAATAATTAGAAAATGCAAATAGCTATTATAATGTAGTTAGTCTGTTCTGAATTTTGCGCAAAGCTAAACGAGGGATATGTGCGCTAGCCGTCCCTGATCTAGCAATGATAGACTAGTCAACATCACACACCGCCAACTCTTGGGTTACTTTTTTACCAACGAATAGTGGGATTGACCATCACGGCTGAAAGGGCAACCATGCTGGGTGTGACGTACATTCGAACCCACGACCCTCAGATTGCGAGTCAAGCGCCTTAACCACCAGTTTATGCCAGGCCGCTATTGTAATGTAATATTGCGCTGATATTAGTACTAAACAAACTGCAACAGTTATATTATATAGAGTGTAACTATATGTGTTTCTTTTATTTATTTCAAATTCATTTCTATTATCGTATAACATAGTTAAAAAAAACTTCCTTTAATTATGTAATTGATATTACTACCTTACGTGGATTTATCATCAGACTTTGTACATTCTTTTATTTTCTTTCTATTTTATACATTGTCCATCTATGAATGACTGTGAATTAAAATAACTTACATGACAGAAAATCTTTTCTGAGATAGAAGCACAGTTTTTGTATTTTCTTTTTTTCAAGATTTGACGAATATATGTCAATGTTTCTGTTACGCTAAGGGGTGGAGAGTATATACGTTAGCCGCACGTTTTGGCATGGCGTTGTAATCGGTACAGTAGCAAAGTCATGGTTTACATGAGGGAGATTGAAGTCACTTTTGTTAGCACGATTGTTCGTTAGGCTTTTAATTATTCAGAAAGTTTTTGTTTATAATTATGTGCCGTCCCGTTTTTTATCTTTCTCAGATTTCGGAGAAGTAATAAATAATTATGGAATATTGAGTGTAACGTTGATAGCGAAACAAGCAAATCACGTCCGGAGACCTTTGCTTGGAATTGGATTGGAAAGTAAAGTTGAAAGTTGAAGTTTTGAACGTCTGAAGATTGAAGCCCAGAACTCAAAGGTTGGTTAATTTTATCATTTAATTGTACGATGTACTTAATTGTTTGACTCAGTCTTATTTATGTCTAACTACATAAGTCAGGTAGTACCGGCGTATTACCAAATAAATGACCAACACAGTATTACTATATTAAGTTTATACTAGTAGTAGTAGTAGTAAGAACTATGTTTTAGACGGGCTTTAATTTTTGGAGTTTGGCGTTTTATGATTATTGTTACTTAATAATAATACCTAGGGTATAACAAATTGTGAACTGTTACTAGTGTTAAATAATTCACTGACTCTGTGACACAATGTATAACTTGTTATGGTATCACTATCAGATGCTTAAATAAACTGTGAAACTGAAAAAATATTGCGTAAAACTAAAAGTTAATACAAAACTGTGAGTGACGTTCAAGGCTAGTAAGGAATGGGTGAATAAATATTTCTTGTGTTCCTGGATAATGCTCCCAAAGTCAAAGTGAATGTGTCGTATTTTCTAATATGGAAATAGCAACATTGTTACTGTGTATAAAAGTTATTTATTGAATGAAAAATAAATAAATATATATGTATATATATATTATAAGTAAGGTCTTGGTTATTAGAACACACAAACATCATATTGATAATCAATATCAGTACAAGAAAAACTGGATTTGAATTTTGCAATAACTAAGGCTAAATTCTTTGAAAATTAGGATTGTGTCAGAGATGCTTATTATTACCTTGATTCTGGTCTTTAATAAATAAAACATATCAAGTCTTCCAGTGTCATTTCTGTAGCATATATAAATGTAGAATGATATAACTGAGTGTATATGAATGTAAGTAATTGGATTATGTTGTTGTTATTATTATCAAGTCTAACAATCCGTAAGAAATCCACTGACAAAAGGGCCATTTAGTCTGCAAATCCAAACTCGTCTTTTTTTACAATTACAAAAGTTTAACATGCAAGTATCAGTAATTATTCTTGAGTTTCGCTGCTGAAATGACAACAAGACTTTGTTAATCTTAGTTGCCGTTTACAAATCCGAGGGGTTCTGATAAGACTATTAAGTTATTGGGTTCTGTAGCAGTTGTTATGGGTTGTTTACCCATCTAAGCGGGATGTGCATAACGGACACTTTGTAGTTGTTGCCATTTTTTTTAGAATAAAGTAATATCGTTATTAACTTTCTTATTAACTAATATGTTAGATTATTCATGACGTTATTCAGTACATTTCTTTTCTTACCCAGCAAAACAATTGTCATGACTGTGTTTTTTTTAACTAAACATCTTAAAATTAATTTTTCAAGTGTATGTCAGTATAATTACATGGTGTGCATGCTGAAAGTTAAATAAAAATGAAACTAAGACCTCACTGCCAATAAAACTTGTATGAAAACCATTTTGTGAAATTGATCTTAGTAGGTACTCGGAGAAGAATCATATTCTTTAGATATTTGATTAGATTTTAGAAATTAAAACTTACTTGGTTTAAAAAAAAAAAGAGAACATAAATGTAGGTGTACAACACATAAAAGTTAACAAACAAAACTTGTTTTCATTTTTGTGGAAAGTAATTGTAATATTATTACTACTACTAAAACTGTTTTGTTATAATACTTTATTATTGACAAAAGTAAGATTATAGTAACAAGTTATTTAATGCACCATTCCTAGCTCTGGATTTAATCATTGCAGAACTTGAAACTGTATATATAATTCAATGGATTTAAATGGATTGCACAATATAAAAGTATATGTTACAGAAGAAAACTTTCGGTTGAGAAGGAATGAATATGCATACATTATAATTTTGGGCAGTTTTAAGTATATTAATTGCACATATATTGATATAAAATTTAGATAATATCATTTCTTTTTGTATTTACAGATGGAAGAAAATAGATTGTGTTCAGTATGTTTGCAGAAGGGTACTCAGAGTAAACTACGGTTGTTTCAAATAAATTTTGAAGAAGCTGTGTTTCTCTGTGAAAACAAGAATGTAAGTAAAAGTTCAACAGGTCCATTTTTCATGTAAAAAGTGAATTATTTTGTAATTCTTGTAAAAAGTTAAAGCAAATAACATTTTAGAATTATAAATCCTTTATTTTGTTTTTCTTACATTAGGTTTAGATAATTAGTTATTTAATAACATTTTGGAATGATTAATTCTTTATTTTGTCTTTTTAACATTAATAATAATAATAATAAGTCCCTGTAGACTCCCACTGGAGCATAGGGCCCCAACAACACCTCACCGACGGAAGTTGTTGTTGCTGTAATTTTTTAGCAGGTTGGTTTTTACGGGGCGGAGTTGCTAGCCCCACGCCCAAACCTCCTCCTTTCTCATCCTGGACTTGGGCAATGGTGGTGGCATCCCTGCCGGGGAACGAACCCGGTACCTTTGGATTAGAAATCCAACGTGCTCTTTTTAACATTAGGTTTAGATTAGTTATTTAATAACATTTTGGAATGATTATTCCTTCATTTCTGATTGAGTTTTATTTTTAGGTTTAGAAGGAGTTCGCTATGATCTTCTTTATTTCTCACATGCTAAAGAAGTCTATATTTATTATATTTCGAATGAAATTGCATTGTTAATTATAAAGAATAAAACATTTACTACTTTTTTTTTGTTTCTAGTGTTATGACTTATTCCCATCAGACCTAACTACTGCTTTTGTTCGTCGTCATGTGTCCGAAATCACAGTTATGGATAGTCATAAAAAGAAAAAATCTTCAAAGTCCAAATGTAGACAAGAATTGGCTGTTACTGGTGAACCTCTATGTGAATTGAGTACTGACTCCACTCTGTTTACTAGTAGTAAGGATATACTTCAGGATTTCTTGGAGAGCTTGGAGAATTACAACTTCAACGCGAAAAACCAAATTGAAGACATTAATACACTGGCCCAAAATGACAGCTCGGAGTGTTGTTTGTTAGATAGTTTAGAGGAATGCTCTAATATAGGTCTTTCCTTAGTTCCTGATCATAGTGAAACAATTGAACAGAATCAGCTTTATTCTCAGTTAACTCATGAGAAAGATTGGGCCAAAATGGAAGCTTGGAAACAAGAAAAAGGTGAAGTTTCTTATTCTGTCTCTGACAGTATAAATACTCATTTGGTAACAAGCCAAGAGTCTCCTGTAGGTTCTGGAAAGTCAGTGATGCCAAATGGAATTGTTGGAGATCAAGTTCAAGATTCAACTAATGTTTCTTTGACTTCAGTAGATGCAAACAAAATGAGTTCACAACTTGTTAATTCTTTGCCTGTTGAAGAGAAGACTGTGAATGTCACGTCGTTTACCCCATCTGTGGCGTTGAGTAAACAAAACAGGACTTTAATTACAGAGTCATGTGACTCTGACCTGAGATTAAAAGATGGGTATGATGGAACTACTACATCGGTTAAGTTAGATGCTGGTAATCAGAATTTGGATGAGAAAGAGAATTTTATGGGACAAGATAATACAAGCTCTGATTATTTTACCTTACAGGAAGATTTTCAGCCCAGAACGGATTTATTAGAAGTGTCCAAGGAAATTGAAGAAGTAATACTTAAAGAAAGTGCTAATACAGGAGTTTTAACACAGCAAGAAATATGCAAGTCGATGAGATTTTATCCCTTGTGGAAAAATGTTGATACTTTAAGTTGGTTGGATGCTGCACTGTCTCTAATAGTGCATAACACAAAATTACCTCACTATTTTTCAAGAAGTTTAAGTTCTCGCAAATCGATTGTGGAGACTGTTTATCAATCTTATCACTCTGTGGTAGATTTGTTGAATGGTCACAGGGAACATACTGTAGATATTAGGTGGAACAACAGGAAAGCAAAGTTTATCTCGGAGAGCATGGCGAGTCTACAAAAAGAAGCTTTCAAGTATCTGAAGAATAAGCTGCACTCTGAGCGAGGACAGGAAGATAGTCCCTTCTTTGCTTTAATGTTGTTGTTAAATGAAGACGAGTCTCTCAAAGAGGCCTTTTTAACGAATTACTGTTGGGAATTCAAGTGCGAGAGCTGTGATCATCATAAAGTTGACAGGTAAAGTAGATATTGCATTTTTTCTTTTGTTTTAATTCTAAGTATATGCAAATTTATTGGATTTGTTTTATTTTGTGTGCATTTGTAACTTACGTAGCTGTTCATAGAGGAATTTTCTATCAAACTTTACAGATTCATTCATCTAGTTTTACTGTAATATTTTTTTATACGACAGTATTTGAAAATCCAAACTTACAAGGGTATCCGGCATTATTGACCCTTGGATTACCGACTTTCTTTACAGCCTTTACAATGTGTAGTCCATGTAGACCCAACATATTTAATATTAGAACTTATTTTGCATGAGAATTGAAAAATATCCAACAATAAACTTAAATAGTCATTTCAGTCTGTCACCTAATATCTTGGACTGTTATTAACATATAGAATATTGGTACTTTTTTGTATCTATTCCTCTGTGTTTTGTCGAGGGTGGAACTTGCAATGAACAAGTTTTCTTTTAATGCCAATCTGTGATTTTGTGGTTGGATTTTGTAGCTCTTGGACATCAGTTTTTTTTTCTTTTGTTGTTGTTGAATTAGTCTTTTTGTAAGTACTTGCAGAAAATGATATCTCTTATGCAACCTACCATCCAGGGTCAAGATGAATCGAGAAAACAAAAGCATATAAGCAACATACATCCAACAGCAACTAGCAGTCTTTTCGTTTTCCTTTCAGTCAGAAGTATTCACTCCACCTGTGGTGCTGTTTTAATCTACGATCATTATTGGCTTTATGGCTGTTGTATTGTTGCCCGTCATGGACAATATGAAGTTAGGGCAACAAGTTCACTGAAAGCAAACGTAGCTGAGAACTCATCACGTCCTTCTACAGAAACCATTTTGGGTGGCATTTGTTTATTGTACCAAGTATTAGCCACACGTTTAGCTACTTCTTGACTAACTTCAAGCTCGGAAAGAATTGATCACATTTGAGTCATTTCCGTTACAATCTTCTTTCCTTGGGTATTTTTCTTCTCTTATCTGTATTATAAGATTTGTCATTATCACAAAAACTCCAAGCTTTGACTCCATATTTTCGAGGTTGCTTGGAATATAGTGTTTGAGAGGTATCTGTCCTAGCATGTGGCTAGTATATGAATGTGGAAGGGTCTGCATCCATTCATCGAAGATTAGTTTTATAGGATAAAAATTTTCCTTTTGTAACTTTTTTTCCATTTTTCTTCAGTATTGTCAAGTGGAAGACATCTTGAAATTGGTTTTGTGACATTGCTTGTGGGAAAAAAAAAGATTTATCAAATACTTGTTTCCAGAGCTGTTTGATTCAGGAGTGAAAATTGGTGATCCACTCAACTTGTTCAAATCCAGTGAGAAATATGTTGGAGGGGTGGGGTGTTGGGGGCAGATACAAAATACAAGTGTGCTTCGATATTTATGCTAAACCCAAATTGATATACGAGATTCCTTTTCAACTGGCAGATTGATGGTGGATTGTCAATCAACTACAAAATATGCTTCAAAGTTGAAGGTATCCAGACACAACACAAACTCATCACGTGCAAAGGTAGACAGTCGATAAGGAAATGGCAATTTTCTCCCATTTGTTTAGAATCAAATAAAAGATACATTATTCTTTCATTGGACATTATTTTTATGTGTAAAATTGTTTAGATGGAGACTAAATTAAACAGAGGTAGATGTGATCTGATTAAAGTTGGGGGATCAGCTCTACGACAAAGTTTTCAGAATTGTGTTCAGTAATTAAGGACTTTTTTTGTTACAAATGAAAATTTATTACAAATATATCAAATGTCACAAACTTCTAAGTTATTTTCAGTTTCATAAGTTATGTTATAAACTGGAGAGTGAAAATATGGACCCAGAACCAGAAAAAAGTTTCTTTGGCTGTTCTCATCCCTGTCAATTGCTTATTTTTTGACTTACAAACACCATCGTACTAAAGAGACATTGCTTTGACTTACAAACACCACTGTACTAAAGAGACATTGCTTTGACTTACAAACACCATCGTACTAAAGAGACATTGCTTTGACTTACAAAAACCATCGTACTAAAGAGACGTTGCTTTGACTTACAAACACCATCGTACTAAAGAGACATTGCTTTGACTTACAAACACCATCGTACTAAAGAGACATTGCTTTGACTTACAAACACCATTGTACTAAAGAAACATTACTTTGACTTACAAAAACCATCATACTAAAGTAACATTGCAACTTGTGCCAAGTGCTTTTGATTTTCTTTATGTTTAATTTCTTCCTTGTTCATTGTTTTCATTATTTCTTCCATAATGCATTTATTCGTGAATAGATTGGAAGCAGATAATGCTGTATTTGTATTTCCTTTTGCATACCTAGCTGGACCCGATGTTTCTTTGCACATGTGTGCAGGTGACCTACTCCCAGATGGCTGCTACCTTGGAGTTTTAAAACTTTTCACCTCTTTCTCTTTTTCACAAGTACACTTCCAGTTCTCCATCAGTATCATTATCAGTCACATTTTTATCTGAGTTTGTAGGACTAGCATTTTCATCAGCAGAAAAATGATTCTCTCCTTCACTAGCCATTGCCATATAGTCAACACTACTAAACTAAGCTTATAGTAGCCATTACCATATAGTCCTCACTACTAAACTAAGCTTGTAGTAGCCATTGTCATATAGTCCTCACTACTAAACTAAGCTTGTAGTAGCCATTGTCATATAGTCAACGCTACTAAACTAAGCTTGTAGTAGCCATTGTCATATAGTCCTCACTACTAAACTAAGCTCATAGTAGCC